CCCTCCTAATATGCTTTTAGTCTACTGTGAGATAAACAATCTAGGTTTTTACCATTATATGTAAATTAGGAATCATAGGACCACCATCAGAGAAAAAAGCCTAAGGAGAGTAGATGGTTAGTTCAGGAGCTCAGATCCTTTTTGGTTTTCTGCTGTGCACAAGGTTTCCAGAAGTCTGATGTCTAAGGAAGTATTACTTCTTTTTGAGAAAAATGAAACCAAAATGTTAAAAGTTTCAAAAGCACTTTAATTTAAATTAACTCAATGTATAATACTGGATCATTTTTGGAAAAACCACTTGTGCCATCTTATAATAAAATATATATACATATACATATATATTGAATCAAATCAGTGAAACTACAGTAAATGTGTAGTAGTTCACTCATTTTAACCAATAAGGAATGTTCCTGACAAGTTTCAGTTATCAGGTATATACATGGCTGAATCAACAAAAATGGCCATTACCCTTCATTAAAATACCAGAAACAACAAAAAAAGATGTCCACAGGGTATTACGGAGGAAAAGGGGAGAAGCTGTAGAAATATAAGTAGGATACTATTATTTTCTTATTTACTTCAGGATTCTTTCAATATTTTTATAACGTGCATATAATAATTTATAATTTTTAAATCCAACTAAAGAAAAATGTAATAGTATTAAGTAGAGCACTATTATTTTCTTATTTACTTCAGGAATCTTTCAATATTTTTATAACATGTACATATAATAATTTATAATTTTTAAATCCAATTAAAAATTAAAGAAAAATGCAATTGTTAAGACTGCTCAAAATCCCCCCAGTTAAGTGAATTCTCAGAAAATGTCAGTGTATCTAGAGCTGCCTTCTTTTTTTCTGATTTTTTTAAATTTAATTTTTATTTTATATTGGAGTATAGATTTACTATGTTGTGTTAGTTTCAGGTGTACAGCAAACTGATTTAGTTATACATATACATATATCTATTCTTTTTCAGATTCTTTTCCCATATAGGTTGTTACAGAGTAGTGAGCAAAGTTCCCTGTGCTATACAGTATGTACTTGTTGATTATCTATTTTATATATAGTAGTGTGTATATATTAATCCCAACCACCTAATTTAAATTTTGAGGTAGAGCTGCCTTCTTTTTAATGACTGCAATGTAGTCCATTTCATATAAATGGCATTAACAACCATGCTCCTCACACAGGACTGCTGCATTAAATGAGATAACCCCTATGAGGTGCTTCTATTAGTTATTATATATAAATTTAATTCTTCCTCTATTAATAATCATCTAGAATATTTCCAAAATTCTATTACAAATAGTACTATGTTAGAGAATGTAAGCATTTTATATTTTAAATAGATACTGCCAAGCTTTGCTCCAAAGAGGTTATACCAATTCATAGTCCCATCGATAATGTATAAAGGTCTGTTTTTGCATAGCCTTACCAACATAGTGTATTACCAAACATATTTTGTATCTTTGTCAAGAAATAGGTAAAAGATGGTCTCATTTTAATATACATGTCTCTAAGTATGGCTAAACAACTTTTCATGTTTAAATTTTTATTTTCTTTTCTGTCTATGATGTGGTTCCCAACTTTTGACTCTTTTCCTATTGGGTTTCTGTTCTTTTTATTGATTTATTGAAAGTGACTCCTATGATGCAAATATTTTGCCCAGTCTGTCATTTGTTTTCCGAGTTTGTTTATATTTTATGTCATATACACATTTCTAGTTTTTTTTTCTTCTAGTTTTTCATGTAGTTAAAATTCAGTATTTTTTTTAATGTCTAGGTTTTATGTCATGCTCAGAAAGACATTGCTCAGTTTACATATAAAATATAAATGTTTAATCTTCCCCTAAGTTTTCATCTAGCACTTTAATGGTCTCATTTATCTACATTTAAACATTTCATCCACCTGGAAATCATTTCTATATAAGGTCGAAATATGAATCCAATTTAATTTCCTCCCAAAAAGAACCTAAGTGTCACAAAACCATTTATTTTCTGATAGAAAACGACCCTTACCCTACACTAGGTTCCTGGATGCATTTAAGTTTGTCTCTATTCTTTATTCTGTGCCATTGATTTGTCTATTCACATACTAGTGCCAAAATTTAAAAGTTACTATGGTAGGGGTATGGAGGGATAAATTAGGAGTTTGGGATTAACATATACACACTGCTATGTATAAAATAGATAACCAACAAGGACCTAACCGAAACACTGTGCTGTACACCTGAAATTAACACAACACTGTAAATCAACTATACTTCAATTTTTTAAATTAATAATAATAATAAAAGTTACTGTGGTTTTACAATATGACTTAAAATCATACCGGGTAGTCGTCTCTCATTAGTTTTTAATCAGAATTTTGCTGGCTACTCTTACATGATGACTTTCTCATACATATGAGTATCAGAATTAGCATGCTATGATTTTTTTTTGAAAAGGCCCTTTTGCAATTATTTGGATCATGTTAATAACCTAAATGTCCATTAATAGATGAATTAATTAATAAAATGTGTTATACATACAATGGAATATACTGAGTCTCAAAAAGGAATAAAATTCTGATACATAACCTAACATGGATGAACTCTGAAGACATTATGCTAAGTGAAATAAGCCTGCTACAAAAGGGCAAATATTGTATAATTCCACTTATATGAGGTACCTAAAATAATCAAATTCAGAGATAAAGAGTAGACAATATGACTTAAAATCACACTTGGCAGTCATCTACAGAGTATCAGTACGGGAAGATAAAAAAGGTTCTGGAGATGGATAATGGTGATGGCTGCACAACAATATGAATGTACTTAATTCCACTGATCTGTATTCTTAAATACGTTTAAATGGTAAATCTTATATATATCATCACACATTTTTAAAAAGATAAAAAGTTAATTCCATCACTTTTACATTTTAACATAATAGAATACGTTTTAAATTCAGATTGTTTACAGATAAGTTTCAGTAAATATTAATTTCTAAAAGTGTGACAAGGGACTTCCCCGGTGGTCCAGTGGTAAAGAATCTGCCTTACAATGCAGGGGACACAGGTTTGATCCCTGGTCAGGGAACTAAGATCCCACATGCCAAGGGGCAACGAGCATGCCACAACTACTGAGCTCTCGCACCTCAACTAGAGCCTGCATGCCGCAAACTACAGAGCCCATGCACTCTGGAACCCGTGCGCCTCACCTACAGAGCCCACGCGCCCTGGAGCCTGCGCGCCACAACTAGAGAGAGAAAACCCGCACGCCACAATTAAAGAGAAGCCCACGCACCGCAACGAAAGATCCCAAATGCCTCAACGAAGATCCTGCATGCCGCAACTAAGACCCAACACAGCCAAAAATAAATAAGATAAATAAAATCTTTAAAAAAATAAGTGTGACAAAATATGATAAGCATATTTAATACATTCAAGTGTTTAACTTTATTTCAAGAGCATCTAGAGACAGTAAAATTGAAAGGAAACTAGTCAAGAGAATGAGAACACATGAATTCCCAGCTCAGAATTTTCTAGTCCAATGGTTCTCTCTTCCTGTTTTCTCAACTTTACATGAAAAAATTAAACTTCTTGCTGTAAAACCCCAAGTTATTAAAATTTAGATCTAGATAAATTTAAACCAAGTATTCTAATGTATTATTTAGATAACTAGACATTAGCAATATGCAATAAATACATACTTACTGTTGGACTTCCCTAGTGGCCCAGAGGTTAAGACTCCGCACTCCCAATGCAGGGAGCCCGGGTTCGATCCCTGGTCAGGGAACCAGATGCTACATGCATGTCACAACTAAGAGCCCGCATGCCACAACTAAAAGATCCCACATGCCGCAACTAAGACCCAGGGCAGCCAAATAAATAAATATTTTTTAAAAAACATACTTACTGTAAAACAAGAGTGAGTAATTTTATTGCTTGTACTGCAACATCATATTCTTTGTCAAGGGTCATAGACACAATTCTATCCTAAGGACAAAAATAATTAAAATATTCTTAAAGGGAAGGCCAGAAAAAATACTTTCAAATAACAGGTAATTTTTAAATACTTAGAGTAATACTAACCTTGAACCGACTGGTAAATAGCTCCAGTTTGGAATTAAGCTCTTTGTTATAATAAAGCCCTTGTAGAGCCGTGAGACATTTGAGTCTTACCTCACCTTGCTGAATGAAACAAGAGGAGAAAATGCATTAAAACTCTGCATATTTTCAACCTGAACATTCAAGATACTTACATTATTTTCTACTTTAAATATGTTCTATACAATAGCATTTCTTCAGAAACTCTCATCTTTGATAATGCAAAAATAGGAATCAATACATAAACATTTAAAACTAAATACCTTTGGGGTTACTACTTCTGTGGGTCAAATGAAAATTTTTTGAAAATTTTTTCAGAGCAATACTATTGTGAAAGACGATAGTAGCATATTTCACAGTAAGTTTTCCTTTACAGAAAGTAATATTTGTAAGGAATATATACAAAGAACTTCAAGGCTTGTGAAGAGGCAGACTAAGAGAAAGGTAGATTAATTAAAAAAAAATTAAAAAGGTCAGAAGCCAAGTTGTAACTTATAATCTGGCTAAGATACATGTTTATCAAGAGAATCAAAATTAAAGAAATTTTAAAATGTATATAGCACTTACATATTAGCAGAGTAAGAATTCTTACTGCTCTAAGAAATGTCTCACCACTACCACCATCACCTACATGATCCAATTGTTTCAGTACAAAAATTGTTTCAAGATTGAAGGCTAAATCAGTGGCCAAGATTCAAAAAACTAGGGGACTTTATGTGATAGAGACCATATTTTCATGGAGCGGACAGAAAAGAATAAAGGAGAGAGGCCTATAGGAATGTGCTCCCAGTTCTACCTATATGCAGATAAGTCACTATGAATAAGAACAGCAGATAGCTATGCCTATGTGTAAAAAGGAAAGCAGTCTATAAGGCATATCTTACCTTATCATGCATAGTCCAACCAACATATTTTAAATAACTGTCATTAAGAAAGGCATCACTATACATTTTCATCCAAATGCCAATTTCTTCAATGCAAATAGCTCGGATTTCAGCTATTGCATCCCTGCATGGAGGAAGGAAAATTATGCATATTAGTGCCAGTATACCACAGGACTTGTGGTTTATTTAAGCAGCACCAAATACTTCATACCTACTATGAATATACCACTACCTTAAGTATTACTGGGGATTTAAATGTAGAATTGAAGCATGGCCCCCGATTGCCAAGAGCTTACAGTCTAGTTGTCAAAGCATAATTATCACCATATAAATATTTAAAGTTAAATAAACCTACAAACAGAATCCAATCCCCACTTTTTATACCATGCCATACCCCAGCCTCTGTTCACACCTCCTGGGCATGGTGTGTTCAGACAGCAGGAACACTAGTCTGGTTAGATAATATTTTCTGGGTGAGAATTAGTTACACCTAATATTGAGGCCAAGCTCAATTTGGATTTGAATGTCAGACTAAATTATTTTGAATTCATCCTGTAGGTAATGGTAAGTCATTCAAGGCTGTTGAGCAGAAGAATGATGCAACAAAAGAACATTTTAAGACAACTGCAATAATCTCTAGGCATGAGAATGACGAAGGAACAGACTAAGGTAATGGTGACAACAGAAATAAAAAGGTAAGAATAGACAAAGGGATATTACAAAGGAAGTATTAACCTGATTCAATAACTGCCAAGTTAAGGAAATGACGGAGAAGTTAAATAAACATGCCACCAACATTTAAAGAATAGGTTACAGCAGAAATGGTGGTAAGATTACCTATTTCTTTCCTCTACTCATTCAAAATAAGGGAAACATCTCACTTAAATCTATCCAGCTTTTCCCACTAATATTCAAATGGAAGAGGAAAGAGTCAGGAATCAGAACGTACAGTCTCTACTAACATAGTACCTCCAAAATCAATTAAGTATTCTGTACCCTGACTCCTAATAACAGCAGTAGCTTCCATTTTCTGGGCATCTACAAGTCAAGCACAACATTACCCCATTTTCAGATAGAAAACAAAGTCGAGAGCAGTTAAGTAACTTGCATAGAGTGTCTCAATCAGTGGAAGAGCTTAGATTCTAACACTGATCTTACTCTAACACGATTTCCACTAAATTTATATTACCTAAACCACTAAATATCCAAACTTGAACAGAATAAGAGTTACATTAAAAAAACTGCCCTGACTTACCGGTATCTATGTACAAACACTCCCTTAAATATTGCATTCATCATATTTTCTATTTCATCTTGATTTTCTTGAAGCTGAAAAGAACACATCATTTCTTTTCAATTGTAATGGAAGAGAACCAAAAGGACATCTAAAAGTTGTTACAAACACACATGCAGGTTTCTCCAGTGTTTTGGTTATTACACCCAATTCCTTTTTTTTTTTTAACACCTTTATTGGAGTATAATTGCTTTACAGTGGTGTGTCAGTTTCTGCTTTACAACAAAAATATGGAACACTTCACGAATTTGCGTGTCATCCTTGCGCAGGGGCCATGCTAATCTTCTCATTCCAACTTTAGTATATGTGCTGCCGAAGCGAGCACCCAATTCTTAATTCCACTAAACGAAAAGTGTCCACATACAAAAATTAACATCTGTTGTCTATCAGGTAGCCACAGTCCCTTGATACCTGGAATATTTGTACTTGGTTTTTAATGTTTAGCTGGTAGACTAATTTTTTAAATGGTCACGTATTTTCATTGTATAAATGCACATAAAGAAATCTGTTATGTAGTTTATTATGATACATATTATATAACATATAATCAAAAAAGCATAACAATGCTTCATTATCTTGGTCTTTAGCATCTGAAAAATAAGTCATGTTAACTAGTGCCTGCTCAAAGAACAAAAACGATTTGAGTAAAATAACTTGGCAAAAAATCTGTCTCCCTGCTAAATATTTTTGAGGGAAACAAGGCTCACTTGAAATAACCAACTAAACATTTCAAATCTGGGTTGACTTATTTACTCCCATATATTTTCAACTCAGAGCTTGAGAGTTAAGAGAAAATTGTTTCAGAGCTTGAGAAGTACAAGGAAAATCTTTCACACGCTAAGTATTAATTAGCTTTTAGATTATGTTCTATGTTTCTGTAAAATGCTTTTTTTCTTTTCATGAATATAATCTCACATTTCCAAATAATGCTAACAAGGGCATGCACTTGTATTCATTAGCACAGTCAAAGGCACAGGTGGTCTTTCAACATGTTTAAAAACTTAACCCAAGCTAGAAGTATTAATATCTTATATCTGTACCAGAATTTTAAACTCAAAACCCTTTTTTACCTATATCCACTCATTCTATGTTCAGAATCTTAGAATCAGGCCATAATTTCATACATTATGTTCATCTAATAAAGCACCCAATGCAATTTATTAACTAAATTAAGGGGCAAAAAGGTCAATTCTTCATTTCAACTACAGCTGACCCGTGAACAATGCAGGGGCTAGGGACGCTGACCCTCCACACAGTTGAAAATCCAAATAAAACTTATAGTCGGCCCTCCGTATATGCAGTTTCTCTGTATCCACAGTTTCTCCACATACAAGGTTCCACAACCAAAGATTCAACCAACCGTGGATCATGTAAGTACTGTAATATTTACTACTGAAAAAAAATCCAAGTATCAATGGATTTGCACCGTTCAAACCTGTATTGTTCAAGGGTCAACCGTACGTGAAAAAGATGAGGAGTTTAGGCATGGTGGAAATGTAGGCAAGATTTTTCTGGCTTCTCTTGAGCAGGGGGCATTTAAAAAAGTTATTGGCTATCAGAAATAACCAACTTTTAAATTATAGTTACCACTACCCCCCAAAAAATGTCAAAATCAAGTAAGTAATTTATGGAATACCACGGCAAATATTTTAACTCAACTGCATTACTAATATTTCTGAAACATCAGACTTTGCCTATTAGAAATAAAAATAAACATCCCCAATATCAGATAGCAAAATATTACATCACCAATGAAGGAGGAATTTAAATCAAAAACACAACATCAAGGGAATTCCCTGGCAGTCCAGTGGTTAGGACTCGGTGCTTTCATTGCCAGGACCTGGGTTCAATCCCTGGTCAGGGAACTAAGGTCCCACAAGCCGCACGGCATGGGGGCAGGGGAGACAACAACAACAACGACCAAAAAACACAACATCGAAAGATTTTATTTATTATTATTTAGCATAAAACTGAAAAAATATATTTTCCTCATTCAAAGTTGAATTTGGTGGTCATTAATGTTAACCAAGTGCCTCTTACACTACAAAAAAACCAAACACACAGATTATGACAACATAAATAGCTTATAAGTTATTTTTCAAAGTGACTTTACATAAGTGAAACCTCATTTCATCCTGACAATAAGCTGACAGAGGAAGTTAGGAGAGATATTTTCACAGTAGAGATGAACAACACTGAAGCATTAAGCAGCTTGTCAGACTGGCCCAGGACTCCTTATGTGAAGCCTTGAACTCTTAATCCTAGTCCACACAGAAAGAATATATACACAGAAGGTACTGTTGGCATGAATAATCAACAAAAATAAGTTAGATGTATAAACAACCTGAAACATGTTGTTTAAATTTTTCAAAAAAATTTATCTGATGATCTAGCAAAGTTATATCATAATTAATGGTGACCAAGTTAGTTACAGATTAGTAGCTTAAATATTCAGCGCAGAAGTGTACGTACCTCTTTCCGCTTCTGTAGCAGGAGTTCCAGCCTCTCATTGGCTCGTTTTCCAATCATTTTATTCCGTTCTGCCTCATATTGTCTTTGTGTATTATCCATATTAATGCTAAGATTTAGTGCCACATTCACCAAAGCTGTCATCAACTTCATAGCTATTTTTAAATGGAAAATGTTGAACTTAGTCTCACAGACACAAAAATTTACAAGTTAAGATCAATTTAAGAGAAATTAAAAACAAGATGGGCTGTTCTGCTTCTAACAGAAAAGAAAAATATAGCTGCTACAAATGACAACAACAATAGTAAAACAACAGCTAATGTGTATTGAATACTTACTATATGTCAGTAACCTATGCTAAATACTTTTCATGGATTAACTCCTAATCCTCACAACAGCCCTCAAAGTTAAGTATTATCCTCATTTCATTCATGAAGAACCTGAAGCTCAGGGAGATTAAGAAATCTGCCTCAGACTACACAGTTCATATACATAGTTAAACCAAGATTCAAAACTAGGTAATCTGACTCTAGACTATGCTCAAATCCCACTATACTATGATATATATGTCCCCTACAATGACCTTTTCCAGAGACCACGATTCACCTTCTAAATAAATTTTGATTCATACAGCAGTCATTTAGCTATCCAGTAACCAAAGGGAGAGGGAACTTAAGTGCTTTTTATCAAAGTACAGTGTGTAGAAATGTTGCACAGTTTTATCAGTACTTGATTTCCTTTAATTTTACTCTATTACATATCATCATAAAGACAATGGTGTGATTATGAAGGACAGATCTAGATAAAAAGTCAAAAGTACAAAGAGTAAAATATCACTCAATAAAGTGTTTTTTATCAGAGTTCCTCCAGATCTCTACCTTCTGTTACTGAACTCTTGCTACTGAGACAAGACTCACTGCCTGTGATTTCAAACTTATTAATTGAAATATCCGAACACTTTATGCTTAATATAACTTAGTCCAGACTATGTCTCAGACCTGGTTCACTGCATGACAGACCACCACAAAATTAAACCTTAATTTGTGGCTATTGGCTCTCTTTAAAAGAGATTCCCAATCTTCTGAGCTATTCCACACCTTCAGCAAACCAGTTTGTCATTCTGATCTAAAATTACCCACCTTACCCCATCATATATGTTTTAATTTACTTTAACTGTTCAAGTTCTTAACATCAAAGCTACCTAAATTCACAGAGCAAGATCACATTCATATTTTGTGACCTCAAATCTACAGGTTGACTGTATGCATTTTATTTTTTTTTTAAATGGAGGGATGAGCAGAAGTACATCTTTAATCATAGCTTTAATTCTCTGGGGAAATACTCTAAAGGAAAAAAACATCCCCACACTTAGAGAAAGAAACATTTTTGTAGAAATCAAACTATTCTATCATTAAGGCTTAGAATACTATAGTAACAATTAATGCCTAGTTGATTTATTCAAACTCAAACCACAAAGCATATTCAATAATAGTACTTTCAGCACAAAAGAGAAACCAGAACATTTTATCAACATCAACACTAAAAACCACTGTTCTAGAATTAATCATGTGAGCCTTAAAAATGTAACTCATTTCATTAAAATTTAAAGAGCAAAGAATCTGACTCAGCCTAAAGTTACTCAGAAGCATAAGAAAAATCAACTTTTTGTGGTGTGGTTAAATAAGCATCATCCTGTAGTGACCATCATACCAGGAGGGACTATGCTAGCAGAGACTATGCATAAAAGTCATTTAGAACTACATATCTAAAATGACTGTTCCCCAAATTTGCTGTCAATACCTTCCTTGATAAAACATATTTCAAGAACCCAACAGATCACTATGCCACAGAAAGGGAGAAGAGGTGGATAGGAATCAAGTAGGTTTACCACAAGAAAATTAAGTATGCCTTCAGAGAATCAAAACTGAAGATATCACTCCATTCCCAGTAATTCGTGAGGGTTGAAGGACAGGGGAGAGTGTCCTCTTAGGGGCTACTTAATAAATAAAATTAATTTGTCACCATTATTTCATTTCTTTTAATGAAAATCATTTTCATCTCTAACCTAAGAAAATGCACAGAAAATATTTCTAAATACTGACCTGCCAGGGTGCTTGTGTGTCGAAATGCTCTGACTTGTGAGTCAGACAATCCTGTAAGAAGTGAAATGACCGTATCCATCATGTACTCATCATATATGATACTATATTGACACTGCCGTACTAATACGCCAATGAATTCACAGAAACTGGATTTGAACTTCTTCCACTGAGGACCAGCCATGGTAAGTGGATAATCTCCACTATCCTAAAACAGAAATTTTAAACAGCAATTTCATTTAAAACACATGACTTAATAAACTTTTACTTTTTTTCCCAAATACCCTAGGCAGAAGCTGAAAAGACTCCTTTATTGGACCTCCCAGGTGGTGCAGTGGTTAAGAATCCGGCTGCCAATGCAGGGGACACAGGTTCGAGCCCTGGTCCGAGAAGATCTCACATGCCACAGAGCAACTAAGCCCGTGTGCCACAACTACTGAGCCTGTGCTCTGGAGCCCACAAGCCACGACTACTGAGCCCACATGCCACAACTACTTAAGTCCACACGCCTAGAGCCCATGCTCTGCAACGAGAAGCCACCGCAATGAGAAACCCGCGCACCGCAACGAAGAGTAGCCCCCGCTTGCCGCAACTAGAGAAAGCCCACATGCAGCAGTGAAGACTCAATGCAGCCGAAAATAAAATATAAACAAATTTATTTTTTAAAGAAAGACTCCTTTATCTCATCTTTCTTCTATAATAAATCCTCAAAGTAGGCAGGAGAATAATATGCAAAGGTAGAGGTACCTTTAACACATCTCTTTTATTTAAGATCAAAATGGATGGGACTTCCCTAGTGGTCCAGTGGTAAAGAATCCGCCTTACAATATGCAGGGGACACAGGTTCGATCCCTAGACAGGGAACTGGGATACCATATGCCACGGGGCAACTAAGCCCATGAGCCACAACTACTGAACTCGCGCCTCAACTAGAGAGCCCGCATGCCGCAAACTACAGAGCCCACGTACTCTGGAATCTGCGCTCCACAACTAAAGAGAAGCCTGTGAGTCGCAAATTAAGATCCCACATGCCTCAACAAAGATCCCGCATGTTGCAACTAAGACCCAATGCAGCCCTAAATAAATAACTAAATAAATAATAAATCTTAAAAAAACCCAAAATGGATATTCTGAATTCACTCTAACCAATGAAAACATATACCAATTACATACCAAAATAAAAAGCCTCTCCCATCAAACAAAACATTATTCTGATAAGCAAAGATAGTTACTAAATTTCTTTAAAACAAAACAAAACCAACATCAAACCAAAGTTATATGTTTTAATGGATTCAAAATGATGAAATCACATTCTCAGCCAGTCTAATGGATTGATGTATGAGTTATAAATAATCAAAGGATTACAATGTATGTTTTCATTAGCTTCAGGACATCAAATAGTCAGCAGATGTAAACAATGAGATAATTTTTTTAAAATGGAAATGTAGCTAGAATGACCTGGAAAGACAGGTACTCAAGTACTCCTATATATAAGATGGGGCATTCACCAATGAAGATACACTGAGGTCCTCCATAAATCATTAAAAACAAGCAAGTCATAAAGATAAAAACAGAGATCAATACTACACAGAACCTCTAAAAGTAAGAGTTTCTGACAAGAATGTCCTGGAAACTTAAGGTCATTTTATCAGTATGGTTTAGTAAAATTTTTAACAATTAAATTTTGTCGTTAGAGCCAAACATTTTTAAAAATTTTAAGTCATGCCATAAACAAGTTGAACTATGTCTCATCTGAGAATAAGGTCCTAATACTCCACAAAAAGGTTTTCTTCCACATTTTCTGATTGGCTCATTTAGTGCTGTATTAAAAAGTGTCATCTTAATTGCTGTTAGCAACTTGGTTTGTTGATATTTTCAAATCTTATTTCAGGATTCTTGTTTCAAATAGCTGTTTAGAAGAAAGAAAGTTCTCACTAAAACATTTAATATCAGAAAGTTAAAATAATACCATTCCTCATAATTATATCTCAATTACTTAGAGACTGATTAATAGTACTTAGTGATCATCAAAGCCATTTTAACAACTCTTGTCTATCTTTTAGAACGATAGTTGAAAGCTCCTTCATCTGAGTAAGCAAAAAACAAAAAACAAAAAACATCAAATAAAACTCAAATGAGACAAGGCTTTCTACTTGAAAATTTATGGTGAAAAGCTTTAAAGAGTAAAACTACTGGTGCTGGAATACAGCTGTGAACAAAACAAACAAAAATCCCTGCCCTGAAGGAGTTTATATTATAGTAAATCTATTGGCAACAATATTTCAAAGACATCACCGTGACAAAGGATCAACTAAAGTCTAAGCTACTACTTATTATGGATTTGTATTGTTCTTACTCATATTTGAAACATAAATAAGACTTTAAACAATTTTATACATATATATGTATGTATGTATTTTCCTTTGCCTAAGCTTGCACCTGGTTCCCCAAGTATTTATCAAATCTTCCTTCTACAACATTCTAAGGTATGTTTGTAGGCACTTAATTTTATTCTTACTTGAAATTTTAATTTTTTGACAAATAAAAACAGCTACCGTTTATTAAGTTCTTACTATATGCCAGGCATTGTAAAATGCTAAGGAATTTTTCAAACATTACTGCATTCAATTTTCATAACAGCCTTATAAGTATTTTTAGCTCCATTTTACAGATGATGAAACTGATGCTAAGACAATTTGCCCAAGGTCACATGGCCATCATTTGATTGGATTTCTACTGCCAAAGCTCTTACCCACAACACTAATATTCAGAATTTAATACTCTGAAGAGTAAATCAAGATCAATATGCATAAAATTATCATAACATTTAGGGTAATAACTCACCTCATCAAACTCTTCAGTCATTTTTCGAATTATTTCAGAGTTCTGCATATGTCTAAACATTTCTGCTGTGACAACACCTGAAATTTGCAAGTGTAAGAAGTTAATGGTAAATTTAAAAAATAACTTCTAAGTCCATCTCTAACACTAAAATGTCTACAATCGCACAATAAGGTGTACTTCAATAGCACCTGATCTTTACCATGTTACTCAACCCTATAAAGCACAAATGCCATTATCAACATATACAAGAAAACAGCCCCACACTTCTGACAGGTATCTTTTTTTCCTAGAACAATCAGCCTGAGCCATTTCTACTTGACTTAACTTTACTCATGCACAGAATGACTAAGACCCTTTAATATAAAGCATATGTCATCAAGCATGAGGCAGCATCCAGGGTAACACTTAAAACCTTGAGGATGAACCTGAAGAAAATAAGGGAAAGAATAATAGGTAGACTTCACTTTAGCCAGGTTTCTTTATTAAGTACAACAATATGTAAGGCAACTACATCCCATCATCCCCTCAAAGGGCTTCAAATAAACATAAGTAGTAAGCTGTAGCTCATCTAGAAGCCTGTAATCTAGTTGTAAGTTTAAACAAAGAATAACTGGGGAGGGGGGCCCCGAGCAGAGAGAAAGGGAAACATAAAGTATTAAAGTTAGTACATAATAAATGCCCAAATGAGTTGAAAAGCCAAGAAAGGCTATAGCTCAGACAAAAAAAAAAAAAAAGATGTGGATAAGTAGGTGTTTCTTATAAGGACATTTAGAGTTTTAAAGGAGTATGGAAGAGGCGAGGAGAAAGGATGCACATTACAAGTAGTGTAACTGTATCACTTTGCTGTACACCTGAAATTAACACTGTAAATCAACTGTATTTCAAAAAAACAAAGGTAGTAAAAGTTAGCCAGGTATAGGTCAAATATCAAAAAAGGGGTTTCTAGGAAAAAGTTATGAGTAGGAGACAATGCAAGAAGAAGTCATACATGAATTTCCACTGATGGGGTGTCAGATTATTTTTTTTAAAAAAAGAAAAAATGTAGAAAGTGAACTTCCTAAACCACATTTCTAATGCTAGATTATTTATTCTTTGCCAGTCTAATCACTATGAATACCATAAATATAGTAACATCTAAAAGAATGTCTTGGGGCTTCCCTGGCAGTCCAGTGGTTAAGACTCCACACTCCCAATGCAGAGGGCACGGGTTCGATCCCTGGTTGGGGAACTAAGATCCTACATGCAGCACGGCACAGCCAAACAAAAAAAATTTTTTAATTTAAAAATAAAAGAATGTCTTGGTACAGGAACATGAGATTTATTATAAAAGTTAGATATATTTCAATTGGCCAAGCTCTATTTTATATATGCACGCACATGTGTGTGTGTGCATATAAATTTAAAAACAACAATAGAACATCATACTCTCTTTCCAACCCCAAATCTGAAAAGAACAACTGCTATGTGAGCTCCCTTCTCTATGCGCATGCAATCTGAAGACCTTCCAGTAGCGTAACAAAACCAGCAGGAGTAGAATAGGAACTAACATCCATTGAGCCGCGTATGCACCAGCCACTTCAGCCCAGGCAACAAGCCTATATAGAAGGTACTATAATCCTCGCTTTACAGATGAGGAAACCAATGCTAAGGCAAAGAGAAGTTAAATAATTTGTATGAGATTATTAGTCTACATCTTGCTGCCCAGCCCCAGGTGAGATCAATTTCTACTGGTACTGTGAAAGAGCCCTTACTTACCACATTAAAAAAACAAATGATTGCTTAAAAATACTAACAAATTTGAAAGAAAGCATGATTTCCCTGACTAAAGAAGCACATTCTCAAAAACCTTTTGAGGGGTTTTTAATTTATATCTAGAGCCATGGATGTATCTCCAGAACCTTCTCATACTTTACACCCAGGTACTGTAAATTTGGCGGTGCTAGAGAAGGACAAATAACTCAATCCCTGAAATAACTTCTACGAAATAAGCATTTATATATAAATAAATATCAAAGTAAACATATTGCATACATTCTGACAAACTTCTAAAGCTCCTCCTCTCATCTCATAGACCATATAACAGCCATAAACCCAAATATAAGCAGAAAACAAAACAGCTGTCACAAACTCCATGCATATAATAACTCCTGAGGCAGGTGTAAAGGAGCCATCAGGACATCAGGCCAGCTCCCACTGCCTTAAAAGTGTGGGGGACATGAAGCAAGACTGCTTTAAAAACTGGTAAACTGAAAAGTGACAGCTGACCAGGAAAGAAAGAAGGAAACAACTGGCCACAGAATCACCAACCACAGAGCAGTCTGGAGCCATTCAGTGTAGGGCCAAACATCTCTCCACATACCTCAATACTTCAGAAGGCATAACTACAGTAAAATAACTGATGCTCATAATAACAGTCCTAAATCCACAGAAAAAGGTACACTGTATATACTTAAACATGTTTGTAATTCATTTATAAAAGAATTCTACCAAAATATTTTTGAGTATGTTTTGTAAGTACTTAATGACCTTAACTTTGATTACATGGAGCTTCCTTGCTTCTAAAATAAATATTATAGCAGTGTTTAAATCTACCTAAGTTTTCAACACCTTCAATTTTTAAAAATTTTCACAACCTTGTTTGTGACAAGGTATGTCCAAATGTTTAATGGGCAAGCTCCTGATTTATAAATACAGTGATGCCAGAAAAGGAATGTATCTGATAAAGGGGAATGCTCTGACTACGGCTTTGTTTTAAAACTGCAATTCAGAAGCCTAGTTAGGAAACTAAAACTGATCAAACCATGGTATAATAGGTAAGACTGAATATAAAAATTAGAATTTCAACTCATTAAATTATTTCTGGCACCTGTTCACTTGTTCTGCAATCAACCTTCCATTTTCAAAGAATCTAAAGAATCTAAAGAGAAAGGGCATTGCCCTTGATTACATAACACCACAAACAGGTACTTGTACCCCTCTGCTCCAGAAAGATGGAATGGACATAGACCAAAAAAAATAATATCAACATATCTCATTTTCTAAAGAGTTAATCTGGTTCATCATACTGTCATTACTACAACACTTCCTCTGAGCTGATTCAGTAGAATTTTCTAATACTGATTTACAGCTACCTTTAGCTAAGAAGTAAACTAGGCAACTCTCTGCACTCTAAAGACATTAAAATTTCTCAAAAATGGCCATATTAATGGCATTATGAAGACCATAGACTCAATAAGTTAATAAATTTGTCTATCAGGCCTCACATATATAACATTTAATATGTAGACTGCACTTAAAGTTGTGATCGACCTCATAAAATGCATCAGTTCTTAAAATGTTACTTGTTTTCCAATTCCAATGACAGGATTTTTCAAGAAGTTTTGTAGAATTAAAGGAGTAGACATAAGTAAATTGTTTTCTGGGATCTCTTTTCAGATTTGTTTATTAAATCAGTCATTCTTTAGCACCTTAATTCTTTAGATCTACTTTTAGGCAATCTTCCCTCCTCCTAACTTCTAATGCCTATGTTTTTGGTGCCATTTTCATTAAAAAAATGTAATACCCTTGGAAATCTCTGTAACATTTATTAGCCTGTGCATCTTCTAGAACTTCAAGGATGGGCCAAGTATTAGGGAGACACAGAATAAATCAGAACCTGCCCATGATCTTGACTAACTCATCTACTGATCCAGATCAGGATGTATGACTCCCCAACTTACACAATTTTGTCTCCCTGGCCAAATGTGTGTGCTACATGTTTTTGTCTCAGGGAAGACATTTTATATTTTCCCTATTCTTACTTCAAAATCTTTTAAAATAAAGTATAAACACTTTAAAAAAGACCCCGCTCCCCACTCCAGTTTCTCTACCTTTTAGGAAAAAAAAAACCTGTAATCACCAATTCCTTACTTTACTTACTTACTTAGTTACTTACTTACCTACTTACTTACTTACTTACTGTTACTCATGGCACTTTTTAACTCCCTACACTCTACAATTCCCTGCCACTTGAACCTGTATCTCTTCATTATCTTCCTCCTCCATTCTTAATCCATTTCTTTGCTCCTAAAACCAGATGCTGAAAGTGGGAAATATATCTAATAAAGTAACATAACAATTATAAATTGCCAAGTTTTTAGTTAACTTTCACATATGAATATAACAGTCTCAACAGACTTTCTCTCTTTGTTCTTTGCTCTTTTTTCCTTACATACATTTTGTATGGTTATAATGCAAATAACTCAGTACCGTGGCATTAGTTTCCACATGAAGTGCTAATAATCTTTAGGTGAAACAAAAAAGAAGAGAACATTTGAGAACATTCTGCTTCCAAAATAAATATATCTTACCTTTACAGCCTGAACACTGAATAAAAAAGTTGATGAGGTCAAGAAGTGCTATATCTCGGTCATGCTTGTATGACTCTATCCAATCATCTACCACCGACTACAGCAGAGGGGGAAAAGAACCATTAGCTTTTTCTAACGTTCTAAGAGTTAATTAAGTCAGATTAAAGTTGTTAAGATTCAACATTAAGTGGTATCACATTATTTCAATAAATACATACGCTTGTATACTAAAATTTAAATTTAAACAATAAAATGGAATCAAATTCAGTAAATTAATCACCTGATTGTACATAAATGATCCATCTTCCTCATTTTTGCATTAAAAGGAATCTAAAAACTAAATATGGGACCCAACTCTATAAGCTGAAATTTCTTAGTGATATTATAGATACCTTAGAAAATACTGATATTTGACTAAAATATTGTACTAAGTAATATCTAAATATTAACACTGCAATGGAATGAAAATTTTACAAAATTTTTGAAAAGAAGTGAATGCCTGGGTCAATGAGGAAATGCAAATAAAATAACACCTTTCCTCAACAGTGAGCACTAATAGTCCCATATTAATAAGAAATAAGCATCAAAAGAAAGTAGGATAGTGCATGGATCTGGAGACTTAATATTGTTAGATGACAGTACCCTCCAAATTGATCTACAGACTCAATGCAATCCCTATCAAAATCCCAGCTGGCTTCTTAGCAGAAATTGAAAAGTTGATCCTAAAATCCTTAGGGCAATGCAAGGTATCCAGAATAGTCAACAGTCTTGAAAAAAGAACAAAGTTGAAGGACTCACACTTCATGATTTTAAAACCTACTACAAAGCTACAGTAATCAAGACAGTACAGTACTGGCATAAGGACAGATACGTAGATTAATGGAATAAAACTGAGAGTCCAGTAATAAACCCTTAGATTGATGGTCATTTGATTTTTGACAAGGATGCCAACTCAATTCAATAGCGAAAGACTAGTCTTTTCAACAAATGGTGCTGGGACAACTGGATATCTGTATGCAAAAGAATGAAGCTGGACCCTCTCTCACATCATACACAATCAAATACCTAAATGTAAGAGTTAAACCTATGAAACACAGAAGTAAATCTTCATAACCACTGAGTTAGGCAAACCCTTCTTATATATTAGACCAAAAGCACAAGAGACAAAAGAAAAAATAAATTTGACTTATTCAAAATTAAAACTTTATTCTTGAAAGGACTCCATCAAGGAAGTGAAAAGGCAACCCACAGAATGGGAGAAAATATTTGCAAATCATATATCTGATATGGAACTTGTGCCCAGAAAATATAAAGAACTACAATTCAATAATTTTAAAAAGCCAAATAACCCAATTAAAAATATAGGCAAAGGATCGGGATAGACAGTTCTATACAGAAGATATACAAATGGCCCTTAGCACATGCAAAGATGCTCAGTGTAACTGGCCACAAAGGAAATGGAAATCAAAACCACAATAAGATACCACTTCACTCCCACTAAGATGGCTATAATAAAAAGTACAGACAACAATAAATGCTGGCAAGAATCTGGAGAAATGGAATGCTAAAACACTGCTCATAAAAAAGTAAAATGGTGCTGCCACTTTGTAAAAACAGTTTGGCAGCTCTTCAAAAGGCTAAAGAATTAAATGACCCTGGAACTCAACTCCTAGGTATTTATTACCCAAGAGAAATGAAAACGTATGTCCAAACAAAAATTTGTACAATAATACTCATAACAGCATTATTCACAACAGCCAAAAAGTGGAAACAAACCACAGGTACATCAAGGGATGAATGGATAAATAAAGCATGGCATATACATACAATGGAATGTTATTTGGCAATAAAAAAGAATGAAGTTATAATACATGCCACACCATGGATGAACCTTAAAAACACGCTAAGTCAAAGAAGCCACTCAAAAATGACCATATATTTATATGACCTCGTTTATATGAAATGTCCAGAATAGGCAAATTTATAGAAAGTAGATTCATGGTTGCCTAGACCTGGGGGCAGGTGAAGAGAAAGTGACTGCTAATGGGCATGAGGTTTCTTTCTGGGGTATTGAAAAAATTCTAAAATTAGATTGTGGCGATGGCTGCACAACTCTGTGAATGTACCAATACTAAAATTCATTGAATTTACACTTTAAAAGGGTGAATTTTATGGTTTGTGAAGTATATTTCAATATAGCAATTTTTAAAAAAACAGAACTAAAAAATAAAAGCAGCACTGTATTCCTTCATGGACAAAAGAGGAAACCACAAAACAGATTAAAAAAGTTTTAAATAAACAAAATTTTTAAAATTAAGATGATAAATTACAGCTAATATAAAAAATGAAAAGTCAGGAGGGAAAATGTCTTAAGTTATATACCAATAAATGTGGAATTTGGGTATGAACTGAATGAATAAAATATGTATAATCTGATGTACAAAAAAGATAATATGATCACATGAAAAAGAAAAGAAAAAGAAAATATTATTTAAGAATAACCTGGCTCATAGAGATTTACTGGACATATTCTAAAATGTTGCTTAATTTCTAGATTTCAGTCCTTTTCTATATTTTATAGCAGCTTGTGTATGTTAACCAACTCAATTTATGAAAGAAATGTTTCTAAGATGATCCCCAAATATGATATGGGCAGTATCAAGAGAATATATGATGTGGTATGGGAGTTTTAAAACATGGCCCCAAGTTGTTTGACATTGCTCCCCGAAAAGAAGTGAAGTCTATGTCCCCTTCTCCAGAACAGAGTGCAGCAGAAATGATGCTTCCAAGATTAGGTCATAGAAGGCTATTCAACTTCTGCATTGGGTTCTTGCAGCACTACAGAACTAGATACTTCCTCTCAGGATAGTCTCTCCAAACTCAGAAGCCATACTGTAAGAAGCCAAAGCCACGTGGAAGGACCATTTGTAGGTACTCCAGGTAACAGTTCCAGCTGAGCCCAGCCTTCAAACACTACTGACTAGGTACCAAACATGAATAAAGAAGTCTCCAGATGATTATAGTCCATAACTGTTTTTGTCACCTCCAGGCATTCAAGCTATCTCAGCTAAGACCCCAGCCATCATGGATGGAAGCACAGAAGAGACATCCCTATTTACTTCTGTCTGAATTCTAGATCCACAGAATCACTAAGCATAATAAAATGGTTGTTCTTTTACATCACTGAATTTGGGGTGGTTTGTTATGCAGCAATAGATAACTAGAACAAGGGCTATTCTCATCAATAAAGATACAAAAATATTTAATGAAATCTTACAAAAAAATCACATCACATCAAAAAGTTATTCATGAAGATCAAGAAGAGTTTATACTAGAGTTTACATAAGGCTGCTGTAATAAATACAAATAAAATACAAATAGTAGAACTAATACAAGCTATCACAATGAAATATATTTAAAATTTTTAATCATCAAATAATATACTAAAAACTCATTCAATAAAATTCAACATCTATTATCTAATAGAACTAGGGGCACATGCATGATTTCTTCTTTCTTAAAATTTAAGAACTATTTTAAAACCAACAGCGAGTCTTGTACTTTCACTCTCACTCATAATCACCGAAATAGGGATATCCTGGGGATACAAAAAAATGAGTAATACACAGTCCCCAATCAAGGAATTAACAATCTAGAAGCAAATACACACATGTGCATAACTATAATACAATATACTAAGTGCTCTACTGGAAAGAGAAGAATAAGAAATATATTCAAGGGGAGAAGGAGGTAGAGTCCAAAAATATTTCCCCAAAAAAGAGTGACATTTGAATTAGTCAATCCTGTGATATGGAAGGGAGAAAAATAAGACTTTCCAGGCAGTAAGATAAACAAAAAGAAAGGTCTAGGGGCAGAGAACATATGGCGGCTAGAGAACAGCAAGTATGCCATAAGGAAATCTGGGCTGGAACTTTTAGATAAGGAAGAACTCTTAGAAGTTTGTAAACAGGAGACTTCCTTGATCAAATTTGGTGTTAGAAAGATAACGCAAGTGGGAGTACACAAAACAAACTGGAGGTGGAGAGATGATTCAGGGAAATCAATGGAGAGATACTGTGGATATACTGCTTTTAAGCGGGAAATCACACTTAGAAAAACAAATGGCATAGAGGTACAATCTTAACATATGATAAATCATAAGCAACACAAAAATAAGAAAAATGTTCACTCTTTAAACACTGAGATACCATTAACAAAAAGAAATATAAAGCTAAGCCCTCACATTTTCTATTAAAAAATTCTGATGAGCCAAAAAGTTAAAAAAAAAAAAAAACCCTACAGACTAGACAAAAATAGAATAGCCTAATTAGCTGCAGATATAAGTTGAGATTTCTGATGTTAACAAAAATGATAAGATATTAGGAAAAAAATGCATTTAACCACTTAGAACAAAATATTATAGAGAAAAGTATAATATAAATATAAAAAGGAAAGTAATGAAATGGTATACAATTTAACAGAGATAATTTATCCCTTCAATAAAATTAACCCAAAATGGGAACCAGAGAGGAGGATAATTTTTTAAATTAGGAAATGACTAAATAAACCATAGCACAGTAATATAATAAGACATTATTTCTTTCAAATGTGTACACAAAATAATCATTTAAAACATTAAACAAGAAATAAAATCCACATCCTAATCACAACCCTATGAAAGCTAACCATATATGGATAAGTGACAGTGAATTCGAATTTAAGAAAATACGTCGCACTATACAAGTGGTGATAGTTCAAAAGCTAACAATTCTTTTTCATTTTATGTGTAAAAAATTGATATTAGTTCCAATTGATATTTTAAAATTTATTTACAAAACCATACATATTTAGATAAATGCATATTTATAATCAAGATTTACATTTCAGTTATTCATTAATAACAAAAAGTTTAATGACTAGCCTTCCCTAAACCATCCATGTGTACCTTTTGTAGATGAAAGTTAATTCCATGAAGGAAAAAAACTATTCCCTATAGCTTTGATAAATTAAATAATAATTTCATTAAGCGTGTATATTGAGTATAGTGTTGATTCAATTTTTAAAAACCATATGGGTTTAGCCTCCAGTGTAAAGCTGAAATGCTTCTACTGTCATAAAATTATGAAGAAACAAAATTAGGATGATTTAACATGAATATGACTCCAACTCTGTACTCCTCTGGTAAGAAACAGCACATGTAATAAAATTTGTAATAGACAACAGTGATCAAAAGAATTCACTAAAGTGGACAGTGATTACATTAGGTCACTCAGCCAAGAATTCTGTATGTGCAAAGAACTTCATGTTTTAACAGCCACTACATAAACTCAAAGGAAACTGAAATGTCATAGTCAGGGTTTACATCAGCATATTTTTTGACATATTTTTTATTATATGCCATTAAAGGAAAATAATGCAGCCGAAAATGACTCAAGACACAACTTAAAGGTCTTATGACTGAATAGATCCCTTGTTTTCTGACTAGTTTGTTGCTTTTTTCTAATACGCAGTATTAAAAATTTTTTAAACACAATTAGAAAAATCAGGGATATATTTTATATAACTCACTTAAGTTCAAAATGTACAAATGAACCAGGAAGAACACAATAAACATTACCTGCATAGCACTCTTGCCCATTTTAACAACTTCAAACAACATCATGTTTTCCACTCCATTCTGCTGGTGATGACCATTCATTCGGTTTGGACCAGAAGGAGGTTTTCCTCCTCCATTTCCACCTTTGCCCTTTTCTCCTGGGCCTTTTTTGCCTTTTTTACAAGTCTGCATAAAAATACAAGTTGCTTAAGTTATATCCTTATCCTTGAGAGTTCAAAATAAAGCTACAGCAGGAGCAGCTGATAGCGTGCATAATTATAAAACACTTAAACCTGACCTAAAGGGGAGTGCCATACACATGCGTCATAATAAAATGATATGGTTGTGACAGCCTCTTTGTAGTATCAATTTTTTTAACTTATACTACCATATACCTCATATGACACTGCAGTTAGGAGCACAGTCTCTGTAGACTGACAGACTGCCTAAGTCCCAAATTTCTATTCCTGTTAGCTGAGTGATCTTGGGCAAGTTACTTAACCACACTGTGCTTCAGAGAGATTTTCTAATTTGTAAAGTGAGGATAAAAGTAAAAAAAAAAAAAAAAAAAAAAAAAAAAGAGCCTACTTCATAGGACTGTGCTTTAGGGTGCAGACTGTAGTGGGCAGCAAGAATAACAAAACTCTATGAAATAAGTAACTCGTAATGAATTCAACATTTTAACTTGATGTCTATTGTTAGTCTTATAAATCACTGCAGTGCATTGACAAAGGAATTCTAAACAGTATGAATAAGTATATCAACCTCTTTCTTGTTCTGGGCCTTCCCTCCAGCACTTATTTATCATGAAAGTTCAATTAACGAACACTATGGAAATGAAGCCCCTTTATAGGAAAGTTAACATTGGGTGGAGGGACTTCATAAATCAGTGAATAGGCTGCCTACATGCCTCAGATATAAAAGACCTCCAACAGCATTTATACCTTATTATTTTAAAAAAGTCATTCCCCAACTCAGAGTCCTCATTTCTAAAATGCCAGAGTTGTATCAATATCTTTACAGGTTAGAATAGATGATTCCGAGGGTCTCTTTTAGATCTACCCATTTCTATGATCTAGAGCAACAGTCAGCAAACTTTCTGTAAAGTACCAGATAGTAAATATTTTAAGGCTCTGCAGGCCACATACTGTCTCTGTCACATATTCTTTATTTTCACTATCCTTTAAAACTGTAAATACCATTCTTAACTCGTGGGTAGTACAAAAACAGGCCATAGTTTGAGATCCCTGATCTATAGCCAGATCTACAAATTTACTTCCACTGACAGTCTGTATGTTTCTATACTTTGTTCCATAAAGGGTCTTTTCTCCTTCTTCAAGAATCTAAAACCACCCTACTCTTAAGAACTACTTCAGGGGCTTCCCTGGTGGTGCAGTGGTTAAGAATCCGCCTGCCAATGCAGGGGACACGGGTTCAATCCCTGGTCCAGGAAGATCCCATATGCTGCAGAGCAACTAAGCCCATGCACCACAACTACTGAAGGTCACGTGCCTAGAGCCCGTGCTCTGCAACAAGAGAAACCACTGCGATGCCCGTGCACCACAACAAAGAGTAGCCCATGCTCGCCACAACTAGAGAAAGTCCATGCACAGCAATGAAGACCCAACACAGCCAAAAATAAATAAATAAAATTTATTAAAAAACAAAAAAGACTATGAGGTAGTATACTATAGTGGATTAAGAGTATACCACCTTTCAACAGATGTGGGCTCAAATCCTTAATGACTAAGCTTCTCTATACCTCAGTTTCCTATCTATCTATAAAAATTAAGTTTTCTAATCTACAGGGTTGTTCAAATATTAAATTAGAAAACATGTAAAATTATTAGCACAGTGCATGGAACATACATAGCATAGGGTCAAAACATTATTATTGTTATAATAAATCACTGATCTGACGCCTAACACCTCACTCACAACAGTGGCTACTCTATTCAGATGCCACTATAAGTCTTATCCCAGCTTGCAAATTAAAGCCAAAAGCAGAGTTTTGGTTTTGAAAGATGACTGCAGAACAAGGAAAAGTGGTTTTCTAATGAATAAGCATATACTACCCGCTAGAATTATGGCTGTCTTTGGATAGTCATGAGTTAACATTTGTATTCATTCACATTCTCTCCCCTCCACCAAACTACCACTTTTTAAGGGACTAAGAATGCATACGAAATTATGAAACACATGGATTATGTGCACTCTAAAAAGATATTCCAAGGACTAGTTAAATAAATTATGTTCCATACATAAAATGGGATCCTATGACACCATTAAAAATTACAGACAGGAAAAATTCACTGATAGGAAAGCTGCTGACAACATGCCATTAAGTTTTAAAAGCAAATGAAACAGTTTGCACAGTATGATTCCATTTAAGTAAAATTCTATGTGCATTTTTATATATAGGTGTATATATACATGTGTATGTTCATCAAAAATGTTTACATATTTAAAATGAGAAATTTTTACTTTGCTCATTGTACATTTCTGCATTATTTAGACTTTTTAAAAGTAAATGTGGGGGCTTCCCTGGTGGCGCAGTGGTTGAGAGTCCGCCTGCCGATGCAGGGGACACGGGTTCGTGACCCGGTCCGGGAAGATCCCACATGCCGCGGAGCGGCTGGACCCGTGAGCCATGGCTGCTGAGCCTGTGCGTCCGGAGCCTGTGCTCCGCAACGGGAGAGGCCACAACAGTGAGAGGCCCGCGTATTGCAAAAAAAAGAAAAAAAAAAAAAAAAAAGTAAATGTGGATTGACATATATACACATATGTATAAAATAGATAACTAATAAGAACCTGCTGTATACACAGGGAACTCCACTTCACTGTACAGTAGAAACTAAAACAACATTGTAAAACAACTATACCCCAATAAAAATAAATAAGAGAATCATCAAAAAAAAAAGGGAGAAAAAAAAAAGTAAATGTGTCATGAGAAAATATAAATCCAAAATTCATTTTGGCAAAGAAAATGCTGAACAAAAGCAAGTCATCTTTTGCACAATGTATTTACACATGCACGGAGTCAAACGTTACTTTCCAAAATAGCAAAATGATTTAACCATTCAGTAAGTTACCCACACCTCTCAGGCTACCCACTCGTACTCTAAACTTGCATTCTATTGACTCAGAACTTTGTTAGTTTTTATCCTTGACATTACTTATAACGAGTCACTGTCAACAGTAACCCATTAGACTTAAACGCTTGTAGGTTACATTTTTAGCGTGCTTTAGAATAAGAAATTTACTGATTTGCTTTACATTGGACTGCTCATGTACAAATAAAAATAAAGCCAACAGAATACCACATTTTGCTTAGCATACTATGCTTTATAAAATAAACTACTAGAAACAATGACGTATTAATTTCAACTTTATAGTAGAAGTGTTCAAAGGCTTGCCATAGCATTCAGGGGAAAAAAGCATTTTTAAAAGACAACAACATCTGAGACATAACTAAAACAACTATATATAGTATATAATTATATTTATTCATATATGTATATTTATGACCATAAGAACCAAAATAAAGACACATTCTATACATACTTTTCCTTTGCCTTGCTTTTGGTTTTTTCCTTCAATGTCTTCAAAATCTGTGTCAGAAGAAAAATGTGTTTCTGACTCCCTATGACAAAAAGATAAGCAATTATTTAAAACCTTCCTTAGAAATGTAGATGGAGTTTCCAAATTTTGCCATATTTTCTAAAAGAAAGGCTTGGTTAACTCATTACAAAACTATATTAGCATTAAATATAATTAAGATGCTTTCCCAAAGCAACATATCGTAGCATATTACCAAACATTTAAAATTATATAACACAAAAACATTAATCTAAAACACAAATATCTAAGCATGTTTTTATTTTGTTAATTTTTAACCAAAGCATAAAAACAAAACCAGAGGCTCTCAAACTTTTAACTCTAGGAACCGTGGTGTTCTATTGGAATGGCTGGTTTCATTTTCTGATTCAAAGACCATGGTGTTCAGGTAAAACTGTATTTTAGCACTAGGTATGAGATAATCTTTATTAGGGAATTTTAGCAATATTAAGGATCTTATGACCTTTCCTATATAACACAAAAATATTCATAATCTAAGTGTAACTATACAAAACATGTATTTCTGAAAGAATATACGTAAAACATTTTTACAAACTAAATCAACAGGATAGGGAAGTGTACTAATTGATCAAAATCCTTTATGAAGCAAAAAGCTGTTGAGCTATAGTCAAGAAAACTGGTTCTAGTTAATACGGTACTAGGAAACTGTGATCTTGGACAACTGACAACCACTCAATCTTCCTCATCTACAAACAATGTTTATGCAGGAAAGAATGAAATCTCTGAAGTCTCTTTAATCTCTAAAATATAGATTTATAGTTCTAAGAAACTGTCCCTCATTTTGGAGTAGGAGGAGTGCTTTGTATAATCTGGATTTTCTAAGGCAAAATGGAAGTAAACCAATTTAAATACACATGTGTGATGCTTCCTATATATGTAAACATGGGTCTATCTATCTAAATAGTAGTAATAGACCCGCACTTAAATGCTTAAGGCAAGGCATACTTAGTATCAATATTTGGGTCACAATGGATTTTAGAACTGGACAACACACATAAAAGATAAAGGTTTTACCATTTTAAATGTGTAAAATTATTGTCGGTTTTGTTTAAAATAAACAGAATCAAAGTGAAAGGATATCTTTCTAAAGCTAGTCTTCTCTAACTAGATTTCTTCTATTTCCATTTTTATTGCTATAATAACCAGTTGTCCAGAGGCTGTGAGTTAGGAATACTTTATAAATCTAAAATAATGGTTAAGATGCTAGCAGGGGGAAAAATTACTATTTATAGCACTTACCTACAAAGTTATTTAAACAATGTATTGAAGATAGTGGCAATCCTAACTATGTCCTATAATGTTGCGAGGAAAAGAGCCTGTAATAAACACCATTTCCCGTAGTTAATGCACCCAAAACTGAATGACTACTTAATATTAACCTTGAAACTCATGCCTCTTACATCTTAAGACTGTTGTCATCAATAATCTTCCCACATGCCTATATGGCTTTGCAAAAAAATTTTTGAAAATGGTTTTAAACATCTTGGTGTGTAAGTAATCTTTCTTCCCCAAGGTATCTGTGAGATACTAGCTCTCAGAGAGCTCAGTAAATGCTCTAAGTCTGCAATCACTAGTCTTTGCCAATATTCTGATGGCCAAAGAGTAATCAAAGGCTCAATTACATTCTTAATCCTCATCTCCAGGCTATCCCAACTAAAAGAATGAGCCACTAGAGGCTTAATTACTAACTGGAAAGCCTTCTGAAGAAAACTGAAGTGAGTAAATGGGGTAATAAGAGTCTAAAATATCCCCAACCAGAGAAGAAATATTCTTGTGAGTCTGTCTTTCTCTAATGCTTCCTTCTGTTTTTAAGATCAAAAGAACAACAACAAAAACCTATCCTAGGTGAAACTAACATATGCTAATATGTTTATGGGGTATACTGGGTTCACCTTTTAGTGGCTGGAAACTTCATGAGCCATCCATCACATGACTGAATCTTCCACTCCTTTCTCTCTACCCTGCCCCCACCTCACATACCCAATCAAATACTGTCTATTGTACCTCCACAACATCGATTCCCTCTTATCCATTATCCTATTTCAGGCTCTAATTACTCGAGATATTCTAATGGTCAACAGTCTAGTTTATAAAGCAAACCTTTTTAATTATCTCTACTGTATTAATGTATTTGAGAAATTTCATAAGATAATTTTATAGTAGTCAAACCAAAAATTAATTTTTTTCTCAGACTATCCCATATCCTCCCTCAAACAAAAACAAGAAATTTTCCTCAAGAATCTGAAAGTAGGGCTTCCCTGGTGGCGCAGTGGTTGAGAGTCTGCCTGCCGATGCAGGGGACACGGGTTCATGCCCCGGTCCGGGAAGATCCCACATGCCGCGGAGCGGCTGGGCCCGTGAGCCATGGCCACTGAGCCTTTGCGTCCGGAGCCTGTGCTCCGCAACGGGAGAGGCCACAACAGTGAAAGGCCCGCGTACCACAAAAAAAGAAAAAAAAAAAAAAAAAAAAAAAAAAAAAAAGAATCTGAAAGTAGAGTCAATATAAACTGGGATTAAAATCACATTAAAAATCATACTTTGAAATATTGGCAATATCCCAGCAGACCCTTAACACTCTGAAAATAATACAATTATTTAAAAACTGAAAATCTATAAAACATCAAAAGCAGACACTGGCCACCACTATGTACAAGGATATCTGCTGTCTTCAAAATTTTTTGCAACCAGGTTTTTAAATCAAGTCTTATAAAGACCCTAATATGTGGTATATGTGTGCGTAAAGTTAATGGGGATCCACGAGCAGTTTAAAGGTTCACTCTTAGGTACCTCATGAAACTGGAGCTTAGTATGAAAACCACTGCTGCATATAGCAGCTCAAATTCTTTCCTACATCAAAACACCAAAGAGTAATGAGAATAAAAGCTGAATAAGGAGTGTAGTAGCTTTTAAGACAAGGGTAAAGAAAATAGCTATGTTGAAGTCACTTTATGGACCAATGAGCATATAATTTGTTTCTGGGGGGTTAAAAAAAAAAAAGGAAAGCATGTCCTACCCTCCTACGTTTGTTTTAGCCTGTCATTTGATTTTAAACAGTAATCTGACATTACATCCTAAATACTATTGCATGGTATATATTCCTTACTAATGAGAACACTTAACATTTTAAGAATTTCATGACACTCCCTTCAAAACAGTTGCTATTGTAAAACCAAGTATGGACTCAAAGAACTGAACAGCAAAAATAATAAATTTTCCAGGATCTAAATTATAAAATATACTACAAAAAAAGGCATGGAATTACTGTTACAAAACCCAATAAGCATTGATATAAACTATTTCCAAGTATGCATGCTATTTTATACTGAAACATTATATCTTCTCAAGCAGAAGTAACTTTAACTGAAGTTAATACAGTTCCCATTTTGTGGAAAAAACGAGTATTTAGAGATTATCATAATATACTTACTGAAGTAGATTAAAATCAGTTGGTATTTCTGGAGCTGCTATCATTTCTTTATCATCTTCTGGGATGCCCCAATGTCAGAAATATATTCATATATTTACGTGGGTAAAATGATGGTTTGCTTCTTTCTTCTAAGACAGACAATTCCTTTAAAAGGGACAGGGGGCCGGGGGGCGGGGGAGAGCGCCATATTTATTATAAACACACCAAAAATATTGGGAAGGATATCTACCCCAAAACTAAATTTCCAAGTGTCTGCTAATGTGTTTTAGTAAATAAGGATTTCTTTCCCTTGTATTTGACTGCTTTTTCTAGATATGGATTTGTTACAACTGTTGTAGCCCCATGACAGTAACAACAAATACAAAGAAAGAAGCTTCTATTACAATTATTTTTTAAAATTTGTTATGATTCTCCAGCCTGGCTTAAAAAGACAGATACCCTAACTAGGAACAGAATGTGACTTTTACTCATCCTAAAATCTTTATGACAAGTTTAAACTGTAATACAAGACGCCTGAAAATTCTATAGCTTTCTGCTTATGATGTACAGTATAGTTAAAAGGAGCTAATAAAAAAAATCTAAGATATAATTTTAAAATACTTTAAAAACAGGTTCTTCTACCATAGAAGAAACATACGGTCCAAAAGCCTGGCTTATTAATAAATAACTACACTTCATGATAATACCACCTGCGTTGAACAGGAAAGGGGAAAAAATGTTAGCTCTGATCCATTCCCTCAAGGAACTTATAATCAATTTAAATACCAATAATGTCATATGGACAATAGATGAATGCCATTTGTGACCAAAGTAAGTTTGGCCATAGGAAGATGCAGTTCCTAAACAAGAGAGTGACCTAAAAGCAAATGACAAATCTATAACAAAAAAGAGAAAATAGACTGGGTTTGAAGCTCTGAATCTTATGTATAACTTTCTTTTAAAATTTTATGCTTTTATTTCCAAGCAAATTTCATACTTGGTGGCCACCTAAAGACTAAACATATCCAATTAATAATAAATATTCAAATATCACATAGTGATGAACTTCTAATGATCTCTTCCAGCAGAGTAAACTTTATACAAGAAACTGATCATTCAATTTTTCCATTAAGTTTAAATCTTGAAAAAACATCATAAATGGCTGCTAATATGTAATTAACATACAAAAGTTCAAAACACTGCATTTCCTTGCTCACTCTAATTAAGCTACTATGAATAGCAAAATAATGAAGAGGAGAAACAAGAATCAATAATATACAAATTAAGCCCTAATCAAGGGTTGTCTATACCACCACTTTGAGTTTCTTTTTTTCTGAAGAATACTCATATTGTAAAATCTTTATTTAGATATCACTGTCAGTATAGTCTTCTCACACTAAATCATGGTCCCAGGATTGTTCCCCTCCAAGACCACTAATTGTTAATTTGGTTTTATTTTTATTGTAACCTAAGGAATTATCTAAGTAGTATATCAGAGTTCTGAGACTTGCCATCACATGTAGGATACACTCTAGCCTCCTAAAAATCCCAAATAATTTAAAAAAGAAAACTGTTTTTTAAAAAGAGAACAATTTTGTTTTTTTAAGTGAGCTGGAGAGGTACAGAGATAATAAGTTCTAACCAACACATCAGGTCATCTAGATGGCAAGATGGAAATAAAGAGCTTGCTGTGTCTGTCTGCCTACCTGTCCCCTCCCCTCTCTCTCTAAGCATTTTATAAAACCAAACTTGATGCATTCCTTAAATATACAGTTTTTAAGCAGACTTTAAAGATAGTTCATAAATGTATTCTACTAAAGGACATAAAGAATGAATCAGCTCTGAAAGCAGAGAGCACTAAATAAAACAGGTACTGTATGATATACTACATTCCTCTAAATAGCACAGAATTAATTTCTAGTGTACAAGAAGTCTTGCCAGGTCAACTTATTTTTCTCAAAGTACGGCTAGACTAACATGTACTTGGTAATTAGAAACCAAAGAAAACACAAAAGAAAAACAGAATTTATAAAGATGTGAGTCTCCCAGACAAGGTGCCTGTATTTTAAAAGGAAATATCATGCCAGGGTCTGATAGGTTTAGAAAAAATTATTAAACTAGCCAACTCCCTATCCCAGTGAAACACCTGTTTTTAAAAGTTTCTAAATATTAAAAATCCATCCAACCAAGTAAAAGTATCTACCATGTGCCAAATGCAGCAGTGGGCACTGGGCATACAGTAGTGAACAGGAGAACAATGATCCTTGCCCTTATGGAACTACCTGTAACAATAAATGTGAAAATATATTTCTAGGAAAAGGCACCTTCCTCTGATGCAACCTATTATTAAACATAATATTAAATTCCATGTATCTTTAGTTTTTACTACTGTAATCATGCTCTAAATAACCAATTTGCCACCAAAATAGTTCTTCATAGCTCAAAAAAATTATATATATTAAAGTTGTTGTGTAATTTAAAGGGGTAGGGGGAACAATGGATATGTTAGCATTGGTTTGCGGTTTTTTTCTTCAAGAATATAAACTTTATCTGCAGGAAGAACTTCGAATTTTTCCCTTTTTATTTTAAATGTCTACAGCTATACATAAATACAATTTGCTTCCCCCAAAGATTTTCATTAAAAAATTCACAAACAAGGTCTTTAAATGTACTTAATGCCATTTGACCTAAGTTGGGAATCCCCAAACTGTAAGAATACATAATGCTCAAATAAAAGTATAAGTTTAATAATCAAACTCACCACATCATTTCTGGCCTACTGTATGTAGGTTATTAATTTTTAAGAAATATGCTCAAAGATCACAAGGTGGAGCTCTCACCTAATGTCAAAGGAAAGCTCTGAGATTTTTAGCATTTGTACCAATTCTCTATAACTACTATAAGAGAGTTAACATTCCAACAGCTTTGGAGGATAAAGCACAGAAATAAAATTTGCTTTAACTCTCAATCACTATTTCCCTTTTGGGAAAAAATACATCCAATAACAACTAGCTTCTGCTTCTCCCTACTGAAAACTAAGCAAACACATTTATCGATAGGTTGAATAACATACTTTAAAGTAAAACCACTTCCTTAGGCTCAAGTGTGTAATACACTGCCATTAAAGATTTATTAAAATTAAAAATAGGTGATTATATATATTTTAATTCTATACCTTAAATTCAAGTAAATGCTCTCAGCAGTAATGCTTTTGATATAAACAGAGATCTAAACGCTGAAATTTGATCACCATACTTTTCAAGTTATCTATAATGAATCTATGTTTAGGGCCTGTTACTCAGTTTAGATCCTGAGTTAACTAATTCAATAACAAAAAAACTTTCTTCTTCCACTTCTGAAAACCTGTTGGATACCTACTACTCTAGCACATAAACACAAATATATACTAAATATATATAATTATGCTTGCATCCTTAACTCCAAAAAGTGACTTAATTGATTAAAATTGTCCACCCACCGCCAAAAAAGTAAAAATACACAAAAACAACCCGTTTTTCTTTGATATTGTTTAAAAAACTTAAAGTAATTCTGATTTCTTTTTATAGAAGAATGATTGTTTCAAAGGTCCTTTAATTCAATCCCAAGTGGTTTCAAGATAGAAAATAAAAAACTACAAAACTAACAAGGTCCCGCAGAACCCACATGTTAGGGGGAAGCACTTAAAGTAGCTGGTGTATTAATTCTTTCCCT